CGGCGTGGTGTCACGTGGGTTGCATGCACATCATTTAATGAGGGCACCTTACAATATTGGCATTGATCGCAACTGATACTTTACTTTATCCAGGTCTCTCACTACTACCGAAATCCATCAATGATAATTTGTTATCTCTACTTTTCAGTAAGGGATTATAGAGACATGGACGGTTATACAGACTCAGGGTGATAACGGAATTCATGGTAAACATTACACTCATCGGTGTCCTTGACTCGTATTGTTGTGCTATCGCTCCGCAGTACATGTAGCTTCTCTATAGTATCATGAGGTCATACTATTTCCTTCAAAAGGATATCCCCCAAGAGATGAAAGTGCTTCATTGATATTATGCAGCATATTTATATGCTTACAATTATTGTATGTTAAGATTTGACTATTTAGTTTGAATCGATTGGGTCAATGATCATAGCAGTTTTTGAAGCTTTCTTAAATTACCAAAGTCGGATTTGTATATGTGATGTAAATGTTTTTATTAGTATGGACAATTTACACAAGAATTTAATATAAAATGAAAGATGAATTTTTGAGTATGTAGATATTTTAATATTTATTTATCTGTCAGTTTATTTGATTGTACAAATTTAATACGCCAGAATACATGTATGTACCTTTGCATAGTTTCAATCACTTACATGTATAACAAGAAACACTGTTCTCCGGCTTTACAGTTCTAGATATTTTAAAGATTATACTGGCAGCCTTCTGGAATTGAACCAGTTTAAGTGTTTTTCAAAGGTGCATTCGTATTTGGAAAATGAGGCCAAAAAGGCTCGGCTTGCTATTCATTCATTATCTTCCATTCATTATCTTCCATTCATTATCTGAAGATATAGTTTTTCACAGCGGCCGTCTTGACATGGTTGACATTTGTATAGATTCCTCTATCTGAAATATAGTAAACTTCATGCTTTTATCACCACGTGCAGTCTTTGTCCATATTTGGACATTGTTCGCTGTGCAACTAAAACATCTTCGATCTGGTAATGTCTCTTGTTTGTTAATAAATCTTAATGATACAGTCTATTAGGAATAGGCGATATATGCTCCTATTTTAAATAGAAATAGAATTGTTTAATACCAGTGTGGTATAATGATTTAACTACATGTTGCTGACTTAATATAGTCGGCCTTAATATAACCATGTACTACATGTATGGCCTACATTTAGTGTTATCTTGTTTGTTTAAATTATCTATTTCTAAGTTAGGAAAAACATCAAAATAAACAATCTCTCCCGAAGATATGTCTTCCTGTGTTGGAGATATCTTACTTTATGTGTATGTTTACAGGGTATTTGCCAGCTATTTTTGGAAAGGTTCCATGAGCAGGAATTGTGAAAATATCATCAGCATTTGGCAAAAATTGGGAAATATCATCATTGTTCTCACAATATGTACAGGTTTGGGAAAGTTTGGAGAAAAAAACCCTGCAATGTGACAAGCAAAGAGTTTGATCTCAAGATACGATTCTAATTTATAATACACCTGCATGTTTTTTCGGTAAATTAACTTCTACATTGACATTATTTATTGAAGCTTATATTGACATTTTTTGTCACTTGCATTTTATGAAAAGAGAAGGCTTACATAGGCTGTGTCTATTGCTCGACCCTTCCTACAAAAGTCTGACAATTTCTCACTAGAGTTTATTGAAATGAAATGCAATTTCGAATGTCATTATATCTCCAAGGAGTTCTGCATCGACAAATATTTTGGTCGAGACGTAGTTGGCTGTTATACAATGCGTCATCATATCTAAGTGACGAGACGTAAGAACCTGCGCTACTACAGGCACGGCATACGTTACCCAGCAGACACTGATTTGTTATAATGTAAACGTTGGCAATGACAGGTAGTTGATAAAATGTGAACGATATTTTTGTCAGTCAAAAAAGGTTCTGTCGGAATGATATTTTTATCCTTCGTATGTATTTGAATAATACATTGAATTATGGTTCAGAGGCACGCAGGCTTCGATAAATTACTTGGTATTGACAACGTGTTTTCTTAAAGGTTACTCTGCCTATATTTCATAGCAATTCATGAGCTTGTGCAATAGCAATCTATTCTTTTTCAATGAAGCACCTATCAACTTTTTTGGTTGAAAAAAAATGATAGTTGAAATGTTTGATATGAATGTTTCTATACAGATGTATGGCGTGTATGAAATATTTAAGATAAATGTTCCATACTGTTGTATGAATGTTTCTGCACAAATGCATGGTGTGTATGAAATGTTTAATATGAATGTTACATACAGTTGTATGGTGTGAATGAAATGTTTAATATAAGTGTTTCTATACGGATGTATGATGTGTATGATTTTTTTTATATAACTGTTCTTTACAGGTGTATGAAATCTTTGATATGCATGTTCTATACAGATCTATGGTGTGTATGAGTATATATGAAATGTTTGAAATAAATATGTCATAAATTAGCATGCTCTGTTATGATCATGATAGTACACACGATCAGATTAAGTCAGATTAATATTCTCTACAGACCCAATACTTAGAAAACTAGGTTTATGAAATGAGTATGGTTAACATGAAATGTGTATGGTTAACATGAAATGAGTATGGTTAACATGAAATGTGTATGGAATGTTTAGGATGGGAGTACTGTGAAGTATGTTATAGTCTCCCAAATATTGTCATGTGTATTTGCTTTGAAAAACTGAAAAAAAATATAAATTAAAAAAAAAACTTTTTGGGTTGATGTAAAAGGCCAAACAAAGGTAACGTCTCACTGCCCATATATGGCTCCATCATGTATTTAAATCCTATATACTGTAGCAATCAGAAGAAAAATAAATTGTGACCAGTCCCTGTGATTATAATGATCGGTAATACCACGGAATTAGATTAGATTGTTATCTAAGTCCGTGGTAATACACACCATCATACATATAGAAAAGGTGCGGTTTAATCCTTAACTAGATGTCGATATGGTTTCGTCTGTCAAACGTCTGATAGTGATAGAGAGCGCAAATCAAACAGTGTGACATATATTGTGGAATTTACCACCAATGCTTACCTTTCCATAATATATTGCTTTCCTCTACGGACAGCCGTACAACGTTTTATCACGATCAAATAAAAAAACCAAATCTGTTTTATTCCAACATGAATATCGTCTAGTCATATGTTTCTGCGCGTTTTGTATTCCCGCGCAGCCATTTTATCAAGCTATATCTCGTAACTACGTGACCTGCTGGACACAACCCAAGGATATTTTAGACGTTTGGCCATCGTCTGTAAACTGACACAAAATTTACCGGAAGTTCGTCCGGAAAACAAGAATTAATCACTGATTAAAAAACACGCATAAATATGCAGTTTTGCTTAATGCACTTTTTATCTTGCTCAAAATGAACCCATACCTGAAAAACCGGTGATATATTTCATTCATGAACCAGTCTTTTTTGTAGTCTGACAAACGTACGAAAATGTCTTATGCTAATGAGGCCACATCTCCTCGCCGATTTTTTTCCACTTCCGAAGAGCCAAGGAGACATTCTTATAACGATAAACAGTGTTTTCAATGAAACGTAAACCTTGTAATGCAATAAACTTCCAATTTTCACCAATTTTAAACAGAACAAAATGAGAAATAACTTTCCATCAACCAAAACCGATATAAGACTGCAGAAAAAAATAACGGAATATATTATAACTAAACAAATAAAATAAATAAATTCATAGAAATAACATGAATTCGTTTAAGTTGACATATTGATAAATCTTTAAAAAAAATGTTTTGATATTAAATTTGACGATCAAAGATAAAAAAAAAGTATTCCCAAAGAAACTTTTGTTCTTGCAGGTGACTGTAGAGAATTTCTTTTTAGTGTATTCGAGTTATCTTTCTTTGAACACTAAATCAGAATAGACACACGGAAACATATGACGGCTACTTCCGACGAGAGAAATTTGTTAAAAAAAACTGTTCTGATTTTTTTAAAACTATTGTTTTATGTTGCTAGTTTTTTGTGTTTTTTTGGTAGATTGTGAACATGTTTATGACAGTCATCCGTAATTACCTTTATAAATCGCTTATGTGAAGCAAGGATGTCAGTGTAGTGGACTACACATCCCTGAGTGAAGTATAAAAGGTTTATTACATTTGGTTAAGCAGTGCACATATTTTCATCTCCTCACTGTATAATTGTGATCTACATTAATCACGTGTTATGTCGTTTTTCAGGACAGACCCATCGTTGAATGAAAAAACAAGTACATTATGTACCCAGATTGTGACCCCGGTCTGATGGTTCCCGGGTTCCCTGCTAAGTCCTCTAATACCTAACATGACGCTAATTCTGAAACAAACTCCTCCTATTATTCATATCACGTCCAATGTTCCTAAGTAGGAGAATTATTACCTGGTAAACAAACACGGACAGAGACATAAATCAAACAAAATGACTGTCATAAAAATGGCGATAATATGTCAAAGTAAAACGGGGACCCGTGTACCGCCGCGTCTCCCTGTCCTACTTGGATTTTTCGAGTGTGTTATCACGATTTTTACGTGTATATATAGCCTCTTTTTCAGTATTGGCTCAATATAATTATTTACATATCATCAATGACTCAGTAATGCAAGGTATTTTTTATAAGATGCCTACTGCAAGTATAGATTAATAAATATAAATTGTTAAGTTATTTTATTACTATATTTTACATTTACCTTCATTTTTTTCACATTGTTACATGTTCGTGTTACATAATGTATAGTAAACTGTACAGTAATTATCACTAACTATGTTGATATGTATTTAGTTTTATCTACATATTAACTGTTTAGTTTATTAATGACAAATTTTATGGCGACCTGCGTGTTTCCAGAATAAAAACAACTCCAGTTTCGTCACTGCTATTTAGTATCAAACCCTTTGGATTTTATGATATTAGAAAATGGACGAATCCGATCCGTACTCTCCGTCTCCGTCTCACTCATTAGGTTAAACAAGGAAATCCGTTCCAGATTGGCGTGACTTTGCCCTCGATTGCAGTGAGGAGAAATGATATGTAGACGTATTGGATAGTTTTGACTTAAAATTCACAACACTGTCAAAGAATGCCTGAGTGATCAGCCACACATTCAAATCACTACCTTTGGAAACCGTAAGTAAGTAGTGAGGGAGAGACTCGCAATCCGTGCTTTGTTCGAAGTAGGTCATGGATAGGAATCCGCGTTCTTGTTTCTGTTTTGATAGATATCACAAATCTGAAACAAATACATTCTAGCTTCAATACAAACCAAATAAATCTTAATCTGTTCACCTTATATTCACGGTTACTAACGCAAATGACCTTGCCACGTCATGTTATAACCCGGACAAAATTGAGCAAAATTTACACACACGAACAAAGGGAGGACACTCTCATTACACATGTACACGCTAACACTAATTAAGGTTGTGCACCACAAAATTACCATCTTTGCATGTAGGGACAACCTGTTCATGTGCTTCCAGTTTATCTGTGGGATATATATATGACATAGACGTCTTTTTATATTATCTAGAAATGTACTTTTATTAAAAATAATTTCATCAATTTACAAATTATATACATGTACTTATTGTAACGTGTTATAATGCCTTTAAATGTTACGGAAATTTATGTTTTAGATATATTTGTCAATACAGCATAGATAAAACTAATAATGATAAAAAGCTAATGAAAAGTAAGTTGATGACTGTCTAAGGATATACTCTGTCGGAGTTTAACTCCAGTTGTGATAGACTTAGATAGGAATCTAACCAACTTCAAAACAAAATGAATATTTGATACATGTAGAAGTTCTACATGTCGGTGAAATACGAACAAAAAATCCCGTTTCAATTCGCTTGTCTCTCTGATTTTTCTTGTCGTTAGTTTTGATAAAAACAATATTTTTCTTTTCCAAGACAAATATTATTTGTCATTGATTTTTCACACTTTATATTATTTGATTTTGAAAATTATAATATAAATGTGGGGTAAAGGTAGCCACAGTTCACAAAAATAAATGAGTGCACGAATTATTTTGTAAATTAGGTTTTGACTGGAGGGAGTATTTGCAGCAGTGAGCGAAATTTCATAGAAGTTAGAAGACTATTTTGATGATCATTTGAAGGATTTGTATTACATCAAATCCAAATGAAGAATTTATTACTGAAATTAGTTCTTGGTAAACATTACCATTTGCCAAATTCTGAAACATAATAAATGAAAAAGAAATTAATAATGAAAACAGACCTTTGATATTTATAAACAAACCTACATCACTGAAAATATTTGAACACAATTTATTGCCTATACTCTTCACATTGATGAACACAAACATACATATTGAATTCCCCCACTTCCTAATTATTACATCAAATCACTACATAATATACACTTTAGCAAGTACTGAAAAACACTTAATATATTTATGAAAATTAGAACGAACATAAAGAAAATTAGAACCAACATAAAGACAAAGGTCGTTGACTTACCTAGTCAACCTAGACCGGTGTATACTGAAATACATGGTATTGAAAAAGTTCCGTTATATTTCCGTGATTACAGTTTATGACGTCAAATTTATCAAAATGTCACTTCTCTTAATAACCTATACAGCAATACACCCTATAATAAAGCCTTAGATAACCACACTCTTACTTACAGAGACGGTATTCTGATAGTTCAAAAACTCGGAGAAGTCTGAGACTTTTTCGGATTAAAAAAAATAACTTTGTAACGAATGATAGAGGGAGTGTCATCAGCACCACTGCACTGCCACATACAATTAAGTAACAATTTAGTCTTGTAAAAATCCGCGCTCCGTACCTCAAAACATGCAATCCTTCATCCGTATCTGATGATAGTCCAAGGCCAAGCACATCCGCCCTCTGTACTTCAACAAACATGCATCCTCTGAAGAAAGCATAGTGTTCAACCTTAACGGTAGACCTCTAGACCATCATGAAACTTACTACGTGTATGCAAAGGTTCAATACTTCAGTACCAAGGCAGCGTTATGTAGGAAAAATGTGATTTATATAGCGCCTGCATCTATATTAATTAAATGCTTCACATTTTCCCAACGCCCATAATTTTGTATCAAATCTCTACTGCATGTATTAAAACTGAGACTGCAGGTTCTGTATAAGGAATCATGCAAGTTGATACAAATAAACATTAGCTGTTGGTCTGTTATTGGAAATTAAGGAGGAAGCACAAAAAATGTAGCAGTTCCAGTAAAATGACCACTACTAATGTTTGTGGATGGTTTCACTTAGACTACTGGTCTTGCGTCTAGCACCTCTAAATGTTTACAAATTATACCACATCAAATAATAAACGGACATTTAAATTGATTATCACTGGCCATACATGTAAATCAATCTCTACCCTAAATATACTACTGCTTGTAATCAAAACGTGTTGATAACCTTTAAATTAGCAGGGATTTAATGTGACTTGTAATTTAGATATTAGGGAGGTAAATTACTCATACAGTGTATGACTGGTGGGTTGTCTTATACAAAAAGTAGGGAGGGAATAGGATTAGTGGGTTAGATGTACATATTTTAAAAAAAGTAGGGAGGGGTGTGATTGTTTGGTTATATATCTAAAAATTAGAGAGAGAATATGATTGATGGGTTATCTTCTAAAAGTAGGAAGGGAATGTGACTGATGGGTTACAAGTACATATACATATATATTTTCAAAGAATGATGGGGATGTGACTAGTGGAATATCATTGTATTAAAAGGAAGGAGGGAATACGATAAGTGGGTTTCCTTCAAAATAGGAGTATGGCAGTGTGGCCAGTGGGGATCTGGCCCTAAAATCTCAAACGGCAGGATAATGTATTTTCTTTACAAAGGTTTCTTAACGCACGCATGTATTTGTATAAGCTATAAGCAGACACAATACTCCTCCAATATACAACATTTCACGTGTTTACCGCTGAAGGTCACAGCCGAGGTTAGATACTTCATAATGGAATATTTATTTGAATCGCGGCGCCGGAATAATAACATTACGTAAAGGATATTTTATTTCGGATTCAACTCTCGTTAGGATAAAATGCCACATGTCTATAAAATAAATGTATAAGAGTAACATTCTCCTCTCAAAATTAGCATATTTCGGTGAGGTACATTTACGTAAATAATCTTAACCCATTGCTCTAGATCTACATCTGTGTGAAACCAACATTACCGCGTGCCCAGCTCTAACGATATACCTCTATAGAGATGTACCAGATTAAAGCCTATAGTGTTGAAATGTCAAACATCAGCTGCACGAGAGCATGGCAAGACTACACGCAATCCCCTGATTACAAATGTATGTCTACAATACTGCAGACCTCTTACTCGCTAGGTACATTGTAAAAAAACGTCTATTTATAATTTTAAAGTTTACTTTTTATTAAATAGCAATATATGCTCTGAATATAAAGTCTTCCACAACAGCGAACAAACTTGTGTGACGTGACTCATGTCTTAGCTTACATTATGTATGTGGTACAGTAATATTTCCATTTCCGTTGTATAGCCCTTAGAAAAATATACCGACCGAAAATATTGTTATGAAGTCCCATAAACGAGTTCGGGAACTTACTGCTTTTACTGCGTTTCCTAAAATTAAGTTCCCCAACTTTTGCTGCATTAAAAAAACACCTTTTTCTTAATACACTGTACATGTTGTTTTCTTTTCGGCAAACTCTTTCCAGTGTGCAAGTATAGATGTGCGAAGCGTATTTCATTTTCTGTTCGGTTTTCACACATGTCCGCCACAGCCTCTGGTTGACTAAGCCATATTGGGCTACTACTTTTGTTCTTGGTTTTATTGGGTTTAACGTCCTATTAACAGCAAGGTCTTTTAAAAACATGTCCCAATGTGTGTAATGTATGCGGGTACACGTGAATGTGTCCTGGAGGCGGTATGTTGGTGTATTTGCCTCCTCGTGATTACAAGGACCTGATGCTTCTTCCCTAAAATACTACGCCAAAGGCACCAAGTACAGTATTCCACTCGGTCACATTATGCTAACAGCAGGTTAACGAGCTGTTACATACACGATTACCCTAAATGCTGAATGTTTAGCAGGGAATAGCAGCTACCATTTTTAAGGGCTTTGGTTATATATCCTGGCCTTGGGCGGAACGCGCAACACCAATGTAAGAAGGCACTAAAACATAAAAAGCAGAAAGAAAATATAAAGATCCCGAATACTGTGATGGTTGCAGCATAATATTTCGGTCGTTTTTGTGTCCCCAAGTAGAAGACAACTAAGGCAAATCCCAAATGCTACAGAGGGTCCCCCATTAGTTGCCTCCTACACTATGTTTTCTATCCCCGAACTACAGCAGTATAGTACTGTTGTTCTATTTTGTAGATTGTAATGAAAGATGTTTAACTAACATTCTCCTAATCAATACTTATCGGAAAATATCGACTAAAAACTGGCCTATGATTGGTTGAAGATTTATGACACAACGTTCTCCAATATGATTTTCCATTTTGTCATTGAACAAGATGGTCGCCATAAACTGGCTTTTGATTGGTCGAAAGTTAGATACGGTATAATTTTGTTGCTGTTTTTTGAAATTGTGAGCTCTTTTTTATACACCATTTGGGACTATGGGGCAGTTTGGAGGTCTTCTATAACTGTTTTCCTGATAATAACATTTGTTTAATCATTGAATTGCTTTAATTTAAAAAACTTAGAGTCAATGTTAATGCAATACGAAACGACATTTAAAAGAGAAAATCATGAGTGGTACAGACAGATGAGTGGAACAGAAAGATGAGTCATACAGACAGATTGTTAGTACGGACAGATGAGTGGTACAGACAGATGAGTGGTATAGACAGATGGGTTGTACAGACAGATGGGTTGTACAGACAGATGGGTGGTACAGACAGATGAGTGATACAGACAGATTGTTAGTACGGACAGATGAGTGATACAGACAGATTGTTAGTACGGACAGATGAATGGTACAGACAGATGAGTGGTATAGACAGATGAGTGGTACAGACAGATGAGTGGTACAGACAGATTGTTAGTACAGACAGATGAGAAGTATTGATAGATGAGTAGTATAGACGGATACGTGATACAAATAGATGAGTGATACACATAGATGAGTGATACAAATAGATGAGTGATACAAATAGATGATAGATGAGTGATACAAATAGATGGGTGATGCAAATGTAGAACAGACAGATGAGTAGTATAGACAGATGAGTGATACAAACAGATGAGTAGTACAGACAGATGCGTAGTACAGACAGATGAGTGATACAGGCAGATGAGTGGTACAGACAGGTGAGTGATACAGACAGATGAGTAGTATAGACAGATAAGTGATACACACAGATGGGTTGTACAGACAGATGAGTGGTATAGACAGATGAAACGTATAGACAGATGCGTAGTACAGACAGATGAGCGGTACAGACAGATGAGTGATACAGACAGATGAGTGATACAGACAGATGAGTAATATAGACAGATGGGTTGTACAGACAGATGAGTGATACAGACAGATGAGCGGTACAGACAGATGAGTGATACAGACAGAGGAGTGATACAGACAGATGAGTAGTATAGACAGATGAGTGATACACACAGATGGGTTGTACGGACAGATGAAACGTATAGACAGATGAAACGTATAGACAGATGCGTAGTACAGACAGATGAGTTGTACAGGCAGAGGAGTAGTATAGACAGATATGTTGTACAGACAGATGAGTAGTATAGACAGATAGGTTGTACAGACAGATGAGTAGTATAGACAGATGAGTGGTATAGACAGATGAGAAGTATAGACAGATGAGAAGTATAGACAGATGAGAAGTATAGACAGATGAGAAGTAAAGACAGATGAGTGGTATAGACAGATGGGTTGTACAGACAGATGAGTAGTATAGACAGATAGGTTGTACAGACAGATGAGTAGTATAGACAGATGAGTAGTACAGACAGATGAGTGATTCACACATATGGGTTGTACAAACAGATGAGTAGTATAGACAGATGAGTGATACAGGCAGATGCGTAGTACAGACAGATGAGTGGTACAGACAGATGAGTGGTACAAACAGATGAGTGATACAGACAGATTATTAGTATAGATAGATGAGTGATACACACAGATGGGTTGTATAGACAGATGCTTGGTATAGACAGATGAGTAGTATAGGCAGATAAGTAGAACAGACAGATGGGTTGTACAGACAGATGAGTAGTATAGACAGATGAGTAGTATAGACAGATGGGTAGTATAGACAGATGGGTTGTATAGACAGATAAGTGATACACACAGATGGGTTTTACAGACAGAGGAGTGGTATAGACAGATGAGTAATATAGACAGATGGGTTGTACAGACAGATGAGTGATACAGACAGATGAGAAGTAAAGACAGATGAGTGGTACAGATAGATGAGTGGTACAGACAGATGAGTGATACAGACAGATGAGTGACACAGACAGATGAGTGATACAGACAGATGAGTGGTACAGACAGATGAGTGGTACAGACAGATGAGTTGTACAGATAGATGAGTGGTACAGACAGATGAATGATACAGACAGATGAGTGATACAGTCAGATGAGTGATACAGACAGATGAGTGGTACAGACAGATGAGTGGTACAGACAGATGAGTAATACGAACAGAGCAGTGATGCAGACAAATTAATTCAACACCCGTTTTGTGCTCATATTGCAAAAATAATAAGAAAATTAACGTGTATTTTCTTTATTTATAGGTCACACAGTAAACTGATGATTGACGCGACGCAACATTGACATCGTATCAAGATGGGGGCAAAGAGAAAAAGGAAGTTGCAATGCAATATTTGCGAGAAAGTTTTATTCAGTTTGAAAACTTTGGAAAGACACAAAAGTTTCCATGTAAACCATCGACGAGGGTTCAAGTGTGGTAAATGTGATAACTTTTTCATGTCCGACACATATTTAAAGAAGCACCGCTGTAGTAGCGTGTCTCAGTCACGTGACCAGCCGGATGCGCGCGACAAGGAGGACTCGACATCAGAGCAGGCAAGCATGCCAGACACTCAAACATTGCACTATCAACAAATATTTAAGTGTGGGTTTTGCCAAAGTTGCTTCGTTTCGCAAAAAGTTTTGAATCTGCATATGGCATTGACACCAGCTAAACGACAGCACAGATGTACAGAATGCAGAAAACGATTTCGCTGTGCTCAACAATTCCACGAGCATTTTCTTACACATAGTAGTCTGCTCAAGGTGTGTTATGTGTGTGGAGAGGTTCTAGAGCAAGACGAGGCAGGTCTTAAACGTCACCTGTCGTCCCATGCAGAAGTTGAAGAACTGAACTGCGATCATTGTTTGAAAGAATTCGTCACAGAAAGTGATTTAGAGGAGCACGAGAAGGAATGCATTCCTAACAATAAAGCGATATCAGTAAACCGACCAGGTACGGACACAGAAGGTGATAACATAGATATGGACGACAGTGCGACTTCAGCAAAAGGCAATGGAGGCGTGTTTACAGATCATGACGTATTGCGTCATGTGCACCTTGACTTCAGCATGTCTTCTGGCTCTAAACAGGGAAGGAGTGTGGTAATTAAGAAAGAAGTCGTAGACGTAGATGCCTCTCTAGTGCCCACAAGACGCAGCTCGCGCACTTCTCGACCAACTGCGAAAAAAATGACGTATGAAAATTCGGTCAAAGAAGAGAAAGAACTGGTATTTCGAGTTGACGGGAACGTCTGTGCAGACAAAATATCGCTCAACAGCCATATGTTAGAACAGGCAGTTGAAGGTACCAATCAGTGCAAGATCTGCGATAAACAATTTAAGCGCCGTCGCTATCTGAAAGATCACATTAAAGTACACGAGGAACAGGAGCCCCACAGTTGTCACATATGTGGATTGAAAATAAAGTACAATCCATCGAACTTCCGTCGGCATATGAAAAAACATTCTGATAGCCGGGAGTTCTGCTGCAATGTGTGTGCAATGTGTTTCTACAGAGCTGATGATCTCCGGGTGCATATGAGAACACACTACAAACAGAGCAAGTGTGTCTGTACAAAGTGTGGCATTGGTTTTTCCACACCAGATAAACTCGCCAAACACACACGTAGTCACGACGTGAATACAGACACCCCATGCGATATATGCGACAAATCTTTTGTCAGCAAAATACAGTACCACGACCACTGTGGTCGTGAGCACGGCGGACAGTTCCCATGCAAGCTGTGTGGCAAATTCATGAACTCCAAATATTGGCTTGAGAAACACAAACTTGAATTCCACTTGTCCGAAATGACCGCCAGCAGTCTAACAGATAACGAGGAGGACGAGAACGGTACTTCTGGTGATGTAAAACATGTCATTGAAAGCCGATCTACATGTAACGATAAACAACAAACTCTGATAACACTACCAGAGGTCACTGACGTCGACGATATAGAGGAATCGTTTCAGGATGCAAGGCAATATGAAAATGATTCCTCTAACAAATCGAGTGAAGTGGCCTGTAACACAGCCGACGAAGAGGTAAAGACGACAGGTACTGATATAATACCTAAACTGGAGCCTATTGAGACTTATGAAGAGTCAAGTGATCGCTTTAAATGTGGATTCTGTGACAAAGTGTTCGCTAAAAGCGGGAACCTCAAGCGTCATATGAACGAGAATTGCGGGAAAACGTGCTTCAGTAAAGTAACTCTTACTATTGGTAAATCTGAAGATGGGAGGAAAGCAACAAGGAAGCCCCCTGCAAAAGACCAGCAGTGTCCAGAATGCTCGAAACGATTTAGTCGGCGTTGTGACCTATTGCTCCACAAACGCGTCCACGCTGGTATTAAGAACTATGTTTGTGATGTATGTAGCTCCTCTTACTTCTCTTTAAGCAATTTGAATCGACATAAGGAAATTCACGAAGGTCGATCAAACAATGTGTGCCACGTGTGTGGGAAGTCATTCGCCTGTAGGAACTACCTTTTCACACATATAAAACGCATACACGAGACTGACAACAGCAAAGCCGACAGATTTCAATGTGAGGCATGTGCCACGAGTTTCACCTCCTACTCGAACTTCAAGCGTCACCAACGGATCCACTCCGGGGAGCGGCCCCACAAATGTAACGTTTGTAACAAAGCTTTCCGTCGCACGGACGACCTTGCCATGCACGTGAAAACGCACTCATCAGTTAGGCCACATATATGCGAAATATGTAACAAAAGTTTTAATCAGCGACATAATTTGAAGAAACATTTGAAACGACACGATCAAGTTTCGAAACCGATCTACCGATGTCCGGAATGTAAAAAGTCGTTTCGTCAGAAGAAGGCGTTTAATCGACACTTAGCTGGTCATGGCAACATCAGCGAATATGCAGAGCAGAAGCTACAACCTATCTACATGGAATCTACAATTGATGACATGGATACACAGGCTACTGTGACGACTGATCACACACAGTACTCGCGAACAGCTGATGCTATAGCGGCAGCCATATCGTCTATTCAGCGTCAGGAGCAAGGCCAGCAGGCATCTGCTGAAACGGGTCAGTCCGACGTTTCCTTGGGTCAGAACGACAGACAGGTAATAATCGTCCTGCCGAGCGGAACAGTTGCGCCTTACCAGTGTAACCTATGCAGCAGCGAATTCCCGGAAATCGGCCAGCTCGTCGCTCACATGGTGGAGCATGGTTAGAAAATAGAACACGTGACTATCACATGATCAGGTGAAGGGAGATGACTCATTTGAAGAACTGTTTTTGTGTTGGGGGTGGGGGATAGTAATCGCATTTTTACATGTATATACTTCTTTATTTGATCATTCATGTCACTATCCTACTTCTGGTTTGAAATGAAATATATTCTACATTTGGGTTAAAAGAATACCACTACAACTATGTACAGTATTTGTGTTCCGTAGTGATCATCATTGGAGAAATCTGGATAAAACCACGAAGCTTTGCCTATACGCTAGGAATGAACATATTTTTTGTATTTGCTAACGAAGGGGATTGTATATGTAAATATTAGTTTTGTTTCATTTGCTGAAATTACATTGATGTATGCTTTTGAAAATATTATGGAATTGGTGTTCAATCATGTTGAGTTTCTTTGTACAGGTCAGTAATAGTATATTCATATGATCTACTTGTAGCTCCGCTCTTTTGAACCTACATGTACACCAATTTACATGTACCTCAAATGTTACATGTGGCACGTGATTGGCTTTGTGTATGTGTAACAAGTAATTATCAATACTTCAAATCTGGAATTAGGCATAGAACCTTATCTCGATTTCTCCAAGGCGTTTTATGTTAGAACACTTTTAATGAAGTGGAATCACTTAACTTTATCAGTCAATCGGAGCCGCAGGCTAATGCCTTTATAAATGTAACATATCATACATATTGAATGATTGCAGTGTTGTCCTGGGTTAAAATGTAGGTCTTTCTGATAGACAACGTCGTTTTGCCCATATACAGCAAATATAATGTAAGGTTACATGGAGAAAGCTTATGAAGTTCAGTTGTCAATTGATATGCAGGACGGACGTCGGACATACATAGGCGATACCACCTTTACGACTCAGTAATAGATGGAGTATGCCAAAAATGAATTACGCTGCATAGAAGCATCGATATTGATCATTTACACAAAAGTGAATTATTTTTGTGAAACCAATCCTGTTACATGTACGCCATGGAAAAAAGAATTTGAGATCACACGAATGATCATTTGAGTAATTGCTATCCGTCTTTGTCCGTCCTCTGGTGTTGTGTGCTAGCAAATTCTTCAAAATAACATGCATTGATTGACCCAAATCTCGGTATAAACTTTTCATATAAAATCAACACCCAAGGTTGTTATTTCTTATTCCCATCCGAAAAACCTATGATGTCTACCCTGGTCTTGCCTTTGATTGGCTGAGACATTTTATTATTCGTATACATATTAAGAACTCCTGAATGAAGTTACTCCGGACTTTGTACAAATATTCCATACAAAACCATGACCAAGTGTTGTTGCTTTCCAAGCTTATCCAAAAACTCGAGGATGACCGTCTTATCTCCTGAGACATTTTCGACCTTATCTCAAGAATAGCTGTAGCGATTGACTTCAAATTCGGTACCAGTTTTCGTCCGTTTCGTACTGAAGTAATATTTCTAGATAACAAAACCTTGCCCCTGATTGGCAAGTACATTTTCGACTTTCCTAGAACAAATGCCGAGATTGACTCCAAACTCTGTGCATAGGTTTCTTGATGTTCAAGCTAAGTGCTCTAGCTTTTCGTGTCGATGCAGATATCAAGGATAGACACCTTGGCCTCTGATTGGCAAACATATATATTTTAATTCCTAGAACAGATGCGGTGATTGTTCCTTTTTGCATTAAGGCCATGAGTGTCTTGTATAATTTTTAAGCATGGCTTGTCATCCTGATAATTTTCGCTCACAATATTTTTTCATTACATATCGATTTGTTTATGCAGGCATTGTTTCTTACGGAAATCCGTGTTAAGTTGATGAGTTAAAAATGACGTCACCTCGCACGAACAGAAAATATAAAACTGGATTATATATTTTATCAATCAACAGAAAAAGTCATCTGCATGAACATGTCAGTATCATATCTCCCAACCGACGTCTAGTGATCGTCGATATCCTCGGTCAGTGACTAATGAGAATACCATCAACGTTAAAACTATGGAGAGACACCTTTATCATAAGCTTTCCCATACCATTATTAATGCTGAGAAATGGAAATGGTATTGTTTTCTTCACAATATTCTTGCGCGAATGTATTATGATTTGTTTGTGCCGGACTACACGCGGTTCACTTTTAAGTTAAGTCATTTGCGGTTCATGGCGCGAGAAGACAACAGAAAAAAACATTCTCAAATTGGTAAAAATCCATTCTCATAGGGATTTAACTGCCTTTTTTCTTTAATTTTCAGGCCGGTATGAACGCGAATCGGTTAAATCCCTATTACACATTGAACCCGTTCATACCGGTATGAAAATTTATAAAAACGCAGTTCAATCCAATTTTTACTAAAGGACGATTGTTTAATTTAATTCATTTGTTCTTAAATAATGCATTTATTTACTGCGATTTGTATATGCGTCGTCCTTTAAACGACAATCAAGAAACAGTCCTATTTACATTAAAACTGGCGCCAAAATTAACCGTAGTCATTTGAGCGTTTGACGCAGGGGCATTATCCATGTTATCCGAAGCGAGGCGACAGAACTCAGGTTAATCTTTGACGTCATAAGTAAACCATGTGTTACGTCACGAGAATTTCGCTTACATACTCAAATAAAATGCATTTCTGCTGGTAATGCTCAGATACATGTAGTTGGTTGCAGCGCAAATGTAAATATAGAGGGATTGAACAGCGTTTTTTAGCTCACCTGGTCCGAAGGTCCATGGTAAGCTTATGCCATTCCACAGCGTCCGTCGTCTGTCCGTCCGTCAACTTTTCCTTTATAGAAGATTGATTTTCTCTCGTCCATTGTTTGGCCACTGAGACCCACTCGCCCAGGATGGTCTGCAACAATGCAGGCTGTTAATCAAGGCATGTTTCCTGGCCAGTCTTCTGTTGTGTTCTTGCCAATGATAGACATGAATCCAGGGGATCTTTCTTGCATATACTCAACCATGCGCTTTGTAAGTAGAGAAGCAGCAAAATATGGGTCTCACCCGATACTGACATTTGATCAGCCGCTCTATTGGAAGGCCTTGATGATTGTTGCGAGTGAACCGTCTGACAGTGAACTCAAAAAGATTGTCCTTCGGCTCGGCGGATTTCATATGGAAATGAGCTTCCTTGGAAGCATTGGCGAACTAATGAGAGGATCAGGCCTGCAACATGTACTGGAAACTGTTTATGCACCAACGACTGTTTCTCATATGATGACCGGTAAAGCTGTGGCAAGAGCAGTGAGAGGGCATTTTCTTGTAGACGCTGCATTGCATGCAATTTTACTGTCCAGTATGTACGACATAGTCTTGCCGTCTTCAACAGAGGAAAGTCAACTTCATATTGAGCCAACCAGTTTTGAGGAGGGAACAATACTAGATGAACAACTTCAGCACGCCAGCGGATCGTCAGAATTGCATGAAAACGACCTGGATGTTGCTTCACAACTCTACGATGTGATGCTGTCAGGAGAAATATCATTAGACGAGGTTATACATTCAGATCTGTTAGACAAAATTCAAGAAAAATTGAAAGCAAGGATGGATTCAATTTCCTGCAATCGAACAGCCAAGTTGTGGATCCAGTACATGGAAATGATTTCTATTCTCAAACGTTTCATCAAGGCAGAACGAACTGGAAATTGGAACCTTCATTTAGTTTCCGTGCAGCAGATGCTGCCCTACCTCGCTGCAGCAGGACACAATCTATACACAAAATCGGCCTACGCGTATTTGCAAAATATGCTCACACTTGAGAAGGATAATCCTAAAGTGTTCAATGCCTTCCAAACGGGCCATCATGTTATACGAAGAAGCGATAGGTTTTGGGCAGGTCTATCAACTGACCTTGTCATTGAACAAGTTCTTATGAGAAGCGTGAAATCAACTGGAGGCTTGACGAGGGGTCGTGGCATGAGTGAAACTCAGAGAGCAGTATGGCTACTTTCAATGCCGGCTTGCGCGGATATGAACAATGCGATGCAAGAGCTGTGTAACGTGAGCTATGCTACAAATGACCAACACAAAGAAAGTGGGAAATCAAGAAAGGAAAAAGACGGGAAAGATACAGAAACCATCCTTGCCTTTCTGCTTGAAAGAAATCCATTTGAGGGAGATGCTTCTCTCAGAAATATAGAAACTGGAGAAACTGATGATGGAAAGGCAAACACAGAAAATGCTAGGTCAATTGGAGAAGCAATTGTAAAGTCAATGGAGGGACAGAACATGGCTAACTATGTGTTTAAGAAAGCAAACAAAGCTGTTACGTTGAGTGCGAAACCTGCAACTTTGAGAATAGAAAATGATGATGTCCAAGTTGACCCACAGCTGTTATTTCAAAGGCTAATGGCAGCAGCAAATGGATTACCAGAGGACGTATCTACTGTCTTCTCATATGAACTTGCCACCCGTCCATCTTCGTTATTTGAACCGTCAGGTCTAATGAGGGCTGCACAAAAATCAGTTCTTGCAGATGCAATTTGGAGTTTCGGAGATTGCACCTCTCCCGTACCAGAAGATGTACATTACGTGCTTGACGGGGGATCCTTACTGCATCGTTTACCTTGGAATAGGGGATTCTCATTCGGTTCCATATGTGCCAAGTATGTAGATTACGTTACAAAGAAATATGACAAACCATCCATCGTATTTGATGGGTATTCTTCCGGTCCGTCAACAAAGGATGCAGCCCACCTCAGGCGCAACGGGGGTTCGACAGGAGCTCGATTTGACTTTACAGAAAATACCACTTTCCGGTCTAAAAAGGAACACTTCCTATCAAACCAAGTCAACAAACAAGCCTTCATCTACATGCTAGCAGAGGCAATGGAAGAAAACGGCTGTAGAACCATTCACGCTCCAAGTGATGCCGATGTCCTCATTGTGAATGAAGCTACAGAAAATGCACTGAACAGAATCACTGTTGTGATTGGAGAAGATACAGACCTTCTCATTCTTCTTCTATTCCATACCAGTTTGGAATTTCACAACATCTTCTTCCACTCTGTAGAATCATGTTCAAGAAAAATGAAGGTATGGGATATACAAAAAACGAAACACATGCTAGGATCAGAAACATGCTACCATCTTCCATTTCTTCATGCAGTTACGGGCTGTGATACAACCTCACGCATCTTTGGGATTGGGAAAGCTGCAGCACTGAAGAAAGAACAAAATGATTCAGATTTCAAGGATCTAGCTGGAGTCTTTGCCGATGATTCTGCCTCTGGAAAAGACGTTATTGCAGCCGGGGAAAAGGCCATTGTTTCTCTTTACAATGGCAATCCAGAAGAAGGACTTAACATTCTAAGATATAAGAAATTTGTTGATAAAGTTTTCGTTGGAAAATCGTGCGTGCAAGTGCAATCGCTACCCCCAACTTCGGCTGCAGCAGAATACCACAGCAGAAGAGTTTATCTCCAAACCCAAATATGGATGGGAAATGGCGACACAATTCCTCAACAGGAATGGGGATGGTATCTCGACAATGGAAAGCTTCTTCCCATCAAGACACATTCCCCTCCTGCTCCGGAACACCTGATTAAAATTATTCGCTGCAACTGCAAAACTAACTGTGACTCGAAACGATGTACATGCAGAAAGCATGGTTTGGAATGTTCACAGGCATGTGGAGAGTGCAAAGGATTGAGTTGTTCCAATGCAGAAGCAGTCCTTGACGCTGATTGTCATATTGGAAATGAGTGCTTATAGTGTTTTCAAGACATATTTTCAGCAACTAGTGCCATTGCTCGGTTTGGATGACTTTTGAAATAATTTTTACCTCTCAAAGTGAAACCTGGATGTCAATATTCCCATCAACATTGTGTAAAACTTGAACATGTCGGACAAAATCAGCCATTTTTATTCCATATTGTTATGGGCATATACTTATTTATGCAATAATACGCTTTTGTGAACAAAAAATAAACTCTCAAGTCATAAAATAGTTTAATTTTATGTCTATTTTGATCGTGTAAGCTTAAAGCTAGTCTCCGACAAAACGAAAAAAAAGTTGGCAAGGGGAGATAATTAAACCGGAAGTAAACAATTTTTCCCACATTATAATTTTCTAGATTTTTTTTCTGGTGATGTCCATATGTTATTAATTCAGAAAAACACCAAAACTTTTCTGATGCAATTTGTTTGAGGTTTTGCCATATTTCAGCTAGAATGACTAGACTATTAAAACGCTACTAGTCATACACGACTTAACAGATTTTAACCAAATTTGGTCAAAATCATCCTTGGGGGAAGGGGAACACATTTTGTATAAATTGTGTGTCTGGTCCCCCTGAGGGCTGAGGGGCTGGGCCCAATAGGGGTAATATAGCATATTCTTTAAAATCCTTCTTCTTCTGTGGGAATGAAAGGATTTGTTCCATAGTTGGTCTAAAGCATCCTTGAGTGAAGGGGAACCAATTTTGTATAAACCGTGAGTCTGGGCCCGCAAGGGCTTGAGGGGCGGGGCCCAGTAGGGGAAACATAGCAAAATGGTCTTCAAAATCCTTCTTCTTCTGTAGGAATGAAAGGATTTAGTCCATATTTGGTGTGGAGCATCCTTGGGTAAAGGGGAACGAATTTTGTATAAACAGTGGGTGTGGCCCCCCTGAGGGCTGAAGGGCGGGCCCTAATAGGGGAAATATAGCAAATTCTTTAAAATCCTTCTTCTGTAAGAATGAAAGGATTTGTTCCATATTTGGTCGGAAGCATCCTTGGGTGAAGGGGAATCAATTTTGTATTAACCGTGGGCCTGAAGGGCGGGAACATAGCAAATTTTCTTCAAAATCCTTCCTCTATTGTAGGAATGAAAAGATTTTGTACATATTTGGTGTGAAGCATCCTTGGGTGAAGGGGAACCAATTTTGTATAAACCGTGAGTCTGGGCCCGCAAGGGCTTGAGGGGCGGGGCCCAGTAGGGGAAACATAGCAAATTGTTCTTCAAAATCCTTCTTCTTCTGTAGGAATGAACGGATTTGGTCCATATTTGGTGTGGAGCATCCTTGGGTAAAGGGGAACGAATTTTGTATCAACAGTGGGTGTGGCCCCCCTGGGGGCTGAAGGGCGGGCCCTAATAGGGGAAATATAGCAAATTCTTTAAAATCCTTCTTCTGTAAGAATGAAAGGATTTGGTCCATATTCGGTGTGGAGCATCCTTGGGTAAAGGGGAACGAATTTTGTATAAACAGTGGGTGTGGCCCCCCTGAGGGCTGAAGGGCGGGCCCTAATAGGGGAAATATAGCAAATTCTTTAAAATCCTTCTTCTGTAAGAATGAAAGGATTTGTTCCATATTTGGTCGGAAGCATCCTTGGATGAAGAGGAACTAATTTTGTATAAACCGTGGGTCGGAAGGGTGGGGCCCAATAGGGGAAACAAAGCAAATTTTCTTCAAAATCCTTCTTCTTCTGTAAGAATGAAAGGATTTGGTCCATATTCGGTGTGGAGCATCCTTGGGTAAAGGGGAACGAATTTTGTATAAACGGTGGGTGTGGCCCCCCTTAGGGCTGAGAGGCGGGGCCTAATAGGGGAAATATAGCAATTCTTTAAAATCCTTTTTCTGTAAGAATGAAAGGATTTGTTCCATATTTGGTCGGAAGCATCCTTGGGTGAAAGGGAACCAATTTTGTATTAACCGTGGGTCTGAAGGGCGGGGCCCAATGGGGGAAACATAGCAAATTATTCTACAAAATCCTTCTTCTGTAGGAATTAAAGGATTTAGACCATTATTTGATGTGAAGCATACTTGGGTAAAGGGGAACCAATTTTGTATAAATGGTGTGTCTGACCCCCTAGAGGCAGAGAGGCGGGCCCAAAAGGGGAAATAGAGGTAAAACCTTTAAAAGCTTTCTTCTACCATAGGGATTAAGGGTTTGTATCCTACATATATGTAATTTAGTCTTGAGCATCCTTGGATCAAGGGGACTCAATTTTGTATAATTGGTGGGTATGACCCCCTTAGAGCAAGGGGGTGGGGCTCTGTTTGAAGTTTGTTACTGCTATATCTCAAGGACTTGATGGATCTTTCTGAAATTTATTATGCACTTACAGCACCTACAATGGAGTGCTATATCTTTACTTTATACCAATTATTTTAAACATCTATTCAGGTGAGCGATACAGGCCAGAGGGCCTGTAATTTTAATTTTCATACCGGCATGAAAATTTAAAAAACAACGCCGTTCAATCCATGTATTTATATTTTTACTATAGAACAATTGTTTGATTTTATTAATTTTGTTCTTAAATAATTAATTAATTTACTACGTTTTGTATATGCGTCGTCCTTTAAGCCTAAACGTCATTGACGGAACAGCCCTATTTATATAAAATTGGCGCTAAGACTGGCATTGGACAAGGAGAATCTATGACGTCACAAGTAAACCACGTGTTACGTCACGAGAGTTTTTGCTTTCATACTCAAATGAAATGCATTTCTGCTGGTAATGTTCAAATAGTGGGTTGCAGCGTAAATGCAAATATAAGTCGTTTCTAACTTCTCCCTAATTCTTTTCATACTGACAATCCGTAATGGATTAATACACAAGGTATTTGTTTTTTCAGTGTTTTTTTTTTAAGTTGCTATTAGAACGTCAACCGCCAGTACATTTCTAGACGGGTGAATTATTATTGTAGTACATATGAACTTTGATGAGAAATCCACATCTCACTTTAATAAAAAGTTTATTTCTTGACTTAAGGACAGTTGTACAAAAATACATGATTAAAGAATGATACTGTATTTAAAACACACAGCGTGATATGTAGTCATAACATATACATAATGATATACAAGCACAGTACATACAAACATATATATATATATGCAATCATAGCACATACAGTGTACATGCAAATGCCTCTTTACTGATCTGAAAAGAAGAGGTGCTATAGTAAATCGGCCATCACAGACCATGCCATTGTTCAGAATACGTTGTCATGTTATTGATTGGGATCATTCATAAGTGGTGGACAGTGACGACAGCCTGTAAATTCGACATACACAGAAGTAATCAATATTTACAACGGAGCTGGCAAATTCTGAATCAAAACTAGGGAGAACATACATATAGAGTCTTGGAAAGCCAAGACCAAGTACTTAACATAGCATAGCCGATTTAACGTTATTTCGTACATTGTTATCACATAAGTATAAAAACGCTCTAGTGTGTATTTATCGTTCAAGTCACCTTAGCGTCAGATACAGGCGTTATAAAATGGTATAGCGAACTACTCGTTCCATATAAAAATAATGACGATTTTTTTAGCCCACCATCATCTGACCATCATCTGATGGTGGGCTATTCAAATCACCCTGCGTCCGTGGTCCGTCGTCCGTCCGTCGTCCGCCGTCCGTCGTCCGTTGTCCGTCCGTAAACAATTCTTGTTATCGGTATTTCTCAAGAAGTACCAGAGGGAATTTTATCAAATTTTATATGCAGGTTTCCCTTGGTCCTTAGCTGTGCAGGACAACTTTTGAGACTGATCGGATAAACAACATGGCCGACAGGCAGCCATCTTGGATTTTGATAGTGTGGGTTTGTTTCCGCTATTTCTCCGGAAGAACTAGAGGGATCTTTCTTAAATTTTATATGTAGGTTCCCCTTGGTCCTAGCTGTGCAGGGCAATTTTAGAGACTGATCGGATAAACAACATGGCCGACAGGCAGCCATCTTGGATTTTGATAGTGAAAGTTTGTTATCGCTTTTTCTCGGGAAGTACGGGAGGGATCATTTTCAAATTTTAAATGTAGGTTCCCCTTGATCCCTGGTTGTGAATGTTATATTTTGAGACTGATCATAAAAACTAAATGGATTAAAAGAAGAACTTAACAGATCTTTCTCATATTGCAATGATCGATTCTATTTCTTTAACATTAAGTACTGTACTAGTAAATATGTGAAATGACAAAGTCACTTTGAAGGTTGGCTTTCATACACATCAGTATTAAGTTTAGATCAAAAGTTACCTCAAGGTGCATTTACTGTTAACATGACTCGATCAAACAGATTAGAGGAAAGAAGAGAAAAGATCGAAGTGACAAAGAACTAATGAAGATGGTACAAAGGTGGGCGCCAAGATCCCTCTGGGATCTCTTGTTTAATCAACATTTCCCACGTTCTCATTCCGTCGTCATGTACCGGTTACATCAAAGCATTGCCTCGGGTTACATAATGTAATAGGCTATGCAGAGAGTTAAGCTATATAGGAGTTAAGCTATATAGAATCAGAAGTTAATATGTATATGACGCACATGTTAAACAGCCTGAACGACAGTGTCATATAATTTGGTTTTACTGGGGCTAACAGTCAGGGTCATTTAATGACGCCGATAACTACACAACTGGTACATAATTAGTGCCTGTCTCAGACCAAATTCAAGAGAGGGAAATCTGACGACAAATGTAGTGTGCTCATTCGTCCTATTCAACACTCAAATGGCTGCGAATGCACTTTTTGCGTTGTACAAATATGAACAAAATATCAAATACCCATTGAAGATCTTTACCTGTTTATCTTAATCTTTGAGATATATTATGTAACAAATCTCATTCAAGACGTAAGCCGAGTAGGGGTGCTACAGCACCGGCCGTGTATTATCATCTCACACATTCTTCATGTAGAGCGCACGTATTAATCCGACAAACATGCGTATACGCTAAATTATACGCAGTTAGAGTTTACTTAACTCAAGAAATGAGATATGTTCAAATACGATGCAATAGGAAATAATTTCAATTCAATTGTCAGAAACCTGGCAGCTTCACTTCCACCCAGACAATGAAAACTGATGCGCGTAAGAAACACAAACACTGATAGGTTCCACTACACCCTGGATGAAGGTTTACCACCATTACAATTCTACACTCTGGAGGTAACGTATTTCACAGTGTAGATTATATTTTATCTACAACATCAGATATCTAACAACATAAAATAGTACAATTTACGACAAAACAGAATAATGCAGATTGTCAATTTCAAGCCCTTAACGCGCGGACGAATACATCGCAGTGTCAAAATGCCGCGAAATGTCACGTAAAGGTACCAGACAGATCGGGCGAGATAGAAAAATCTAGCATGGGGAATGACATAGGATATATACATGTACATGCATGTAGATAGACATAGGTTGTACAAGGCCCTCTATATGAACATTATATACATGCATGAAGACAGATATAGGCTGTACAAGGCCCTCCTTGTGAACATTATATACATGCATGTAGATAGATATGCCCTCCTTATGAACATTATATACATGCATGTAGATCGATATAGACTGTACAATGCCCTCCTTATGAACATTATATACACGCATGTAGATAGATATAGGCTGTACAATGCCCTCCTAATGAACATTATATACACGCATGTAGATAGGTATAGGCTGTACAATGCCCTCCTTATGAACATTATATACACGCATGTAGATAGATATAGGCTGTACAAGGCCGTCCTTATGGACATTAAATACATGCATCTAAATAGATATAGGCTGTACAATGCCCTCCTAATGAACATTATATACACGCATGTAGATAAATATAGGTTGTACAAATATGTAAAATATATGATAATGGAAAAACGACAATAACAAACAAAAGATAGACACAGGCAACTCTGTACAAGTATGGCACCACAAAAGACTCAGTCGTGACATTGAAGGAGATGTATAGTATGCGCAAAGCCCTGGTGATATGTTGAAGGAGCGGCAGCCATACATGTTCGTGACGTCAGACGGACTCACAGATTTGTAGAATGTATTTCCGTAGAGGGGTATAGAGTTTTGTGGACACCGTTTGTGTTTGACATTACGTTAGGCTCAGCGCTTTGGGTACCACTGGGTTTGGTAACAGTGTCACTTAGCGTAGTACTTGATGCTGCACGTTGTTTGCTGACGTCATCGACATCAGTGAAGTAGGCGGCGTTCACCATGCCAACTTTCCCAGACTTGGTTATGTCAGTCGGCTTCACGTCTTCCTGTAACTCATTATAATATTTTTTTGTAGAAAAAACGATTCATGTTTGAATAATAAATAATTCAGTTTCTTTCGTTGACATTAAAAACATTACAACAGAGAGCGAGAGATGAAAGGTGGTGATAGTTTAAGTGTCATAAAAATATTACCTGCACGGTTTACCATTACATGTAATTTAAAGCGTACTTTTAGCTGATCCGAAAGTCATGGCTTCTCTGGGAAATAACCGATGAATTATGTAATTCACTAAATTTCTAAACAAGCAAGGCCACATTTTGTCTCGAATGCACAACAACGTAAATCGTTCAGTGACGTCAGTAACATAATCGTAAACTCATTTCTTTGTAGCTTCAGTAACAATCAACTGAGAAAAGGGACCATGAGGCTACAAGACATAACGTCATTACGCGGGCCTACCTCTCCATGTCGTACACCGAATCGCAATCGCTTCCTGGTTTTCTCTGGAAGCCAAGGACAGAATTCGTCAAAGAAAGCACAGATGAGTCGAGGGTCCAGCTCCTCTGGCTTTGTGGCACCTATCGAAAGCACAGAAGTATAATACATGCCAGAGCAATGGACCTATTACTATGTGAAGGCGACTTCCGATTTAACTGCATAAAGCATAAGAATCTAGTATAATGTATTCGTACTGACATGTAACCATGACCATTTTAAGAACATGTAAATGTTAACCGATTATGGAAAGGAAAATTCTGACAAAACTAGAGTGTAGGTTCGTGCTAGGACGTTCGTGCAATAGCGTTCGTCCCGATACAACTGCACACTAATCAATGATCGTGATCAAGTGTCACTGACCTGTGGCAAAGCTGACCAGTAGACCGACTACAACGGTGGTCAGCACAGCCAGCGAGGTATACCACATATACGACATCCTGTACAGGATGAACGGGTCTTCTCTGAAACACACAAAGCATGATGCTATCGTTTTCAATTCAAGACAAAGAAACAACTAAATAACCATGCAGACCGATCTGTTGTTGAATATATACATATAACGTTAATTTTTAGAATTTGTTTTATATAACGTTAATTTTTAGAATTTGTTCTTTTCAAGATGTTGCCGACGGCCAAATTGATTTGTCTGCTACCTCCCCACCCTGTATGGTTATATATATTTGAATACTAACTTGGGTGTTTGATTTACCGCCGTCGTTGTCATGGTACTGGCCACTGTAGCTGCCACGGTTGTGAGTGCGGAGGTGGCGTTGAGGTAGCAGCCGGAAGTTGTAACGGGGGATGGCGGGGTGATAACTACGTTATTAAACTTAGTACCCAGTCCTACGAACATCAGCAGGATTAGAGCGGTCAGATGGCCAACTAGCCCGCCCCATTTGTTGGCCCAGGGAAACAACATTCCGAGAGTAAACAGACCAAGTAATGGCCCTCCAAGGATTCCGAACAGAATGTAAGCAACCTGAAGAATTGCTCCCAATTTAGACACGACGAAAGCGAGGCCAATACAGCAGAGGCCAGCTACCACGATCGTCACCTTGGAGAAAATGGTAGACGCACGTCCAGATATGTGGCGGGGGTAGAATGGTCGAACAAAGTCCTCTAGGAGTACTGCGGCCACGGCGTTGAGTCCCGAGGAGATGGTGCTGAGGCTGCCACTGAACACACAGGATAAAACAAGGCCTGGCAGGCCATGGTAGGACCCTAGCAAGTCCATAGTGAACAGAGGGATTAGCTGATCAGAGCTTTTGATGATACCTAGAGTCACGGGATCACAGCGCTCGTAGTAAGCGAACATAACCACCCCTACCAGACACACCAGGGTCAATATAATCGCCATGCCGGGGAAGTTCAGCCAGATGGCCCTGTAATCAGGTAAAATATTTCAAACAGTGTATCTAAGTTGGACGTTAGACCTACTGATACAAGTACCACTGCCACGTAGCAAAACACGATTTTTTTCTACTGTTTGATTTCCAGTGGATATCAAATCTATAAAAAAAACAGCTCGTCAGTCTGTAGTCAGTATTTGAACCTAACTAAACACACTTTTTTCGAATAAAATGATAAATTAAATCCATCTTTTTGCATACGACTTTGAATACTAATAGAAAAGGATTTAAATCCTTCACCAATTAAAGTTGATGGCAAGGCTGAATTTACGCCATGGATCATTTGTAAGCCACGCTACCCTTACCTTGTAAATACAAGATCAATTTCTGTATTACCTTGGGTCTTTTGACCCAACAGTTTCAAATTATTAAATCTACCAACTTATACGGTACCCTTTCCTTGTGCCTACCAATATGGTACCCTTACCTTGTACCTACTACAATGATGTAATCCGGTACCCTTACCTTGTACCTACTACAAAGATGTAATCCGGTACCCTCACCTTGTACCTACTACATATATGTAATAAGGTACCCTCACCCTGTACCTACTACAATGATGTAATACGGTACCCTTACCCTGTACCGGATTACATCTTGGTAGTAGGTACAAGGTAAGTGTACCGGATTATATCTTTGCAGAAGGTACAGGGTAAGGGAACCGGATTACATATTTGTAGTAGGTACAAGTTAAGGGTACCGGATTACGTCTGTGTAGTAGGTACAGGGTGAGGGTACCTTATTACATATTTGTAGTAGGTACAAGTTAAGGGTACCGGATTACATCACTGTAGTAGGTACATGGTAAGGGTACCGGATTACATAATTGTCACGACCTCCCTCACATAGCATTGAGGTGTGAAGAACCTACTTCAATTATGTAATCCGTTACCCTTACCCTGTACCGGATTACATCTTGGTAGTATGTACAAGGTAAGGGTACCTGATTACATCTGTGTAGTAGGGACAAGGTAAGGGTACCGAATTACATCTTTGTAGTATGTACAAGGTAAGGGTACCGGAAATCATTGATACCATGACCCGACCTTCTTCACACCACACTGATAAAATGTCACGACCTCCCTCAAATAGCATTGATACCATGCCACAACCTTCTTCATACCTCACTGATAAAATGGCACGACCTCCCTCACATAGCATTGATACCATGACACAACCTTCTTCACACCTCAATGATAAAATGTCACGACCTCCCTCAAATAGCATTGATACCATGACACAACCTACTTCACACCTCAATGCTATGTGAGGGAGGTCGTGCCATTTTATCAGTGAGGTATGAAGAAGGTTGTGGCATGGTATCCATGCTATGTGAGGGAGGTCGTGCCATTTTATCAGTGAGGTATGAAGAAGGTTGTGGCATGGTATCCATGCTATGTGAGGGAGGTCGTGCCATTTTATCAGTGAGGTGTTAATAAGGTTGTGACATGGTATCAATGCTATGTGAGAGAGAACGTGACATTTTATCAGTGAGGTGTTAATAAGGTTGTGTCATGGTATCAATGCTATGTGAGAGAGAACGTGACATTTTATCAGTGAGGTGTGAAGAAGATTGTGGCATGGTATCAATGCTATTTGAGGGAGGTCGTGACATTTTATCAGTGAGGTATGAAGAAGGTTGTGGCATGGTATCAATGCTATGTGAGGGAGGTCGTGCCATTTTATCAGTGAGGTATGAAGAAGGTTGTGGCATGGTATCCATGCTATGTGAGGGAGGTCGTGCCATTTTATCAGTGAGGTGTGAAGAGGGTTGTGTTCTGGTATCAATGCTATGTGAGAGAGAACGTGACATTTTATCAGTGTGGTGTGAAGAAGGTCGGGTCATGGTATCAATGATTTCCGGTACCCTTACCTTGTACCTACTACATGTACAATGATGTAATAAGGTACCCTTACCCTGTACCTACTACAAAGATGTAATCCGGTACCCTTACCTTCGACCTACTTCAATTATGTAATCCGGTACCCTTACCCTGTACCTACTTCAATGATGTAATCCGGTATCTTTACCCTGTACACTACCTACTAATACTCTACCCGTACATAATATATCCTTACTTACTTGCGCATGTTGCTCATAGATGATACAGATATTGCCCGCTGGACTTGGGCTTGGTTTATCCCATATATAGCGCCCCAGAAAATGCCGCCACCAATCACAACATTCCAGACCGTGTGTCGAGTAGATGGGTCGGGGTCAAACCTGCTCGAAAAGTAGGTAAAGCTCGATCAAATTTAAACAAAAAGTAGGTAAATCTCGATCAAATCTAAACAACAAGTAGATAAAGCTCGATCAAATCTAAACAAAAAGTAGGTACAGCTCGATCAAATCTAAACAAAAAGTAAGTTAAGCTCGATCAAATCTAAACAACAAGTAGGTAAAGCTCGATCAAATCTAAACAAAAAGTAGGTAAATCTCGATCAAATCTAAACAACAAGTAGATAAAGCTCGATCAAATCTAAACAAAAAGTAGGTACAGCTCGATCAAATCTAAACAAAAAGTAAGTTAAGCTCGATCAAATCTAAACAACAAGTAGGTAAAGCTCGATCAAATCTAAACAAAAAGTAGGTAAATCTCGATCAAATCTAAACAACAAGTAGATAAAGCTCGATCAAATCTAAACAAAAAGTAGGTACAGCGCGATCAAATCTAAACAAAAAGTAGGTTAAGCTCGATCAAATCTAAACAAAAAGTAGGTAAAGCTCGATCAAATCTAAACAAAAAGTAGGTAAAGCGCAATCAAATCTAAACAACAAGTAGGTAAATCTCGATCAAATCTAAACAACAAGTAGGCAACACCAGTTTGTTCAGGGTATAAAACCTAAACGTTATCATTTTTTTATTGTGATGTAATGAATATTATATATTCAGAAAGAAATTGCTTTAAAATCTGGATAAACAAATTTGAGACATATCTTAGTTTTTCTTAATTTCGAGTTACGAACATCGTTTTCACATCAGTGTAATGAAAAGTGATATTCCAAATAGTCTCAAGTTATTTGCAGATAAAAATGATTACATCAGCATTAGTCCATGGGGATGTTTCACTCTCAACATTTTTCAATGAACATTTTATGGTTGGATTAGCACAATACAGTACATGAGAGCTATTCTAAGACTCGCTAGGCTAGCAATACAATATTCAGTTTTAGTCGGATTGGTCAACATTGCGACTGAACCAGATAACACGATAATCATCGTTTAGATAACAGACGAAATGCTGCATTAGTTTACTAGAGGAATACAAGTGTATATTTAAAGGTGTATCTAAATAAACCATACACGATGTATGGTTTTCTCTGTGAACATGTACGAAAATGTTTTTCCAAATTCTATTGCATATAAGGAGATGATGAGAGTTCTTTGTACATGTTTGTGAGATAAACTGTAACCCACTCTAACAACAAGGTACGACCGTTACGTTCGGCCACCTGCCAGGCCTTGTCAAGACCTCCAATCTTCAGGGAACCTGCTACCAACAGTGTCATCATTCCGGCAAACATGATAAGCATCTGTAGAGAGTCGGACCACACCACCGCCTTCATACCACCCTATAATATTGTAAAAGCGTATTACACTTAACATAACACCTTGTTGTATATTATTTCATATCTCAATGAAAGTATCCTGTATAGAACGAAATGTATTATAATCTAACTATTTCAAATCATTATTTGCACCGTGCAATACGTGCAGTTCGCAATAAACGTTTATGCTGTGCTAGGATTGTCTGAACTCTTTCCAATGAAATCAAAGTAGTATCAGTGAGGCGTGAAGAAGGTTGTGCCATGATATCAATGCTATGTGAGAGAGGGTGTAACATTTTATCGGTGAGGTGTGAAGAGGGTTGTGTCCTGGTATCAATGCTATGTGAGGGAGGACGTGACATTTTATCAGTGTGGTGTGAAGAAGGTTGGGTCATGGTATCAATGCTATTTGACGGAGGTCGTGACATTTTATCATTGAGGTGTGAAGAAGGTTGTGACATGGTATCAATGCTATGTGAGAGAGAACGTGACATTTTATCAGTGAGGTGTTAATAAGGTTGTTACATGGTATCAATGCTATGTGAGGGAGGTCGTGACATTTTATCAGTGAGGTATGAAGAAGGTTGTGGCATGGTATCAATGCTATGTGAGGGAGGTCGTGACATTTTATCAGTGAGGTGTGAAGAGGGTTGTGTTATGGTATCAATGCTATGTGAGGGAGGTCGTGATATTTATCATTGGGGCGTGAAGAAGGTTGTATCGTGCTAGCAATGATATGTGAGAGAGGACGTGACATTTTATCATTGGGGCGTGAAGTAGGTTGTGTCGTGGTATCAATGCTATGCGAGGGAGGTCGTGACATTTTATCAGTGAGATGTGAGGACGGTTATGACACCATAGCTTACCAGTGTGGTATAGAAGATAGTGACTAGTCCTACAGCAAACACTGAACCCCACAAAGACAAACCGGTCACTGCAACAAAATGTCACAAAGCATGGTCATCAAAGTGTGACGTTCACTGTTTACGGTAATGCGCAGTTATATCAAAGTAAAACAGAGGTGTAACAAAACAGTTGATCATAACGACCAATACGTAATGTATGACGTCACCCACCTGCATTTAGGGCTAGAGAAGGTCCATACAGCACTATTGACATATACAACATCTGAAAACGAGAAAAGCACTTGGTAAGGATTTAATAACTAGTCAGGGATCCGAAAATTAGGAAGTATTATTTGACAATTTAGGGGCAAGATTAATTGTCTACAATGATCATCACCCAACAGATTGTTTAAAGCGAAGGAAGGTATGCTCCGGATACAAAATAAAATCTACTTCCAATTTGGTGTCTTAACGTAAATAAATAAATAGCATGGTCTCGTGGAAAGATGAATAATGTTTTCGCTGACTTTATTTACTCGTGGCAAATGTCGTATACATGATTTGTTTTGCGTCATCATACTCCACCACCTGATCAAACGTTCACAGACATCGATGGCAGAAAACCATCCGAGCCAGTACCATTGGTCGAATAATCGCACAGAAAAAACCCCAACAAAAAACTTATACATCAAAGATAGACACCTAAAATTGTAAAACTTATTAGCAATTGATATTAAACATTCGGACGAACCATAATCATAGCCCCAGTACTCGCTATCTACACAAGGTATATAACACTGATGTCACACAGTACTCACCATCTACACAAGGTACAGAGTATATAACACTGACGTCACACAGTTTTCACCATACAGAAAGGTATATAACACTGACGTCACACAGTACTCACCATCGATAGAGGTATATAACACTGAAGTTACACAGTACTCACCATACATAGAGGTATATACATGTAACTCTGACGTCACACAGTACTCCCCATCCAGAGAGGTATATAACATTCTACCACGTCTGTGATGTAACGACGGTTTTCATTGGTTAAAAAGAGTGCATTATTGAGCGATATACCATGCGCGTGCCAATAACCAATGCACGTGAAATAGTGCGCACGCATGCTGTTCCAACAACCTCCCCGTATTTTATCATGAATTAACAAAAATAGCATAACTGTCAGACGGGATCAAAATATTTGACAGGCTTGCAATTCAAAAGATTACACGGATCTATAGACCTAAAGTATGTGGGTCCGTGGAGTGAAAATGGTTTATTAATTATTGACATTTAAAATGTACAGGTCTGAAGACAAAATGGTAAATTATTAATTACTTCCGTTTTTACTTAACTGGGTAGTGTCGTACATTTCACGATGTGTGCAGTGTGTGTATGTACTGTCAAGCGTTGATTTCATGTTTTGACGAACGATGTCGATAGCGTGCCAATGTTTGATTGATTGAAATAAACATCGTATCTGACGTCACATGTGTTCAGTTGTTTCTGGTCTGCAAAACGTCGTCTGCTTTCAAAAGATCAAAGTGATGTCGAGCATTCGCCTACAGCGTACATACCGTGTGTGAAGAATAATGTTGCAAAAAGTAGCATCGGTCTGAACAGTGGTTGCAAAACACAGCTGTCCAGTGAAGTCGGTGAAGGTGAAGGTCGCGTCATGATCAGCCGGTCAGCGACTTTCCATCACGTCATGGCAACCAACTAAATATGCCAACTCATGTCAGGCCTATCGTATGATGTTATATCACTGGCACTTCCAAGAAAATCTGCTTGATATCGGTACGATGATGATGGTTTTAAAAGTAAACGCAATCCGGGAATCCCAACCCTACGCACTGAGAAATGTTGGCGCGACATTGATCAAGTTAAAACGAGGCAACACGATCACGTGATAAATCTTGCACGCGCAAAAGAACAGCGTCTAATTTGCATATCGAACTATCTAGGTCATGTCGCCTTATAATACAGCAAAACTTTACAATTAGTTACATTTGACATGGTAGAATAAAAATATTCAACTTATGTGCAAGCATTAAGGTGAAATATATAACTGTTGATTATTTCTTAACTAACGTCGAACATTACTCATCATCTAGAGGTATAATACTGACGTCACACAGTACTCACCATCCTGAGAGGTATATAACACTGACGTCACACAGTACTCACCATCCATAGAGGTATATAACACTAACGTCGAACATTACTCATCATTTAGAGGTATATAACACTGACGTCACACAGTACTCATCATCCAGATAGGTACAATGTATATAACAATGACGTCAAACAGTACTTACCATCCAGAGAGGTATATAACACTGACTTCACACAGTCCTCATCATGCAGAGGTATAACACTGACGTCACACAGTACTCACCATCCAGACGAGGTATATGATACTGGCGGAGAATCTCGTTACTTTACCAAACCTCAACTCTGCATACTGAAATAAAGTAATAAACAAATTAGTACAGCATAGACAAATTATGTTCTTAACAGTATACAAACAGGAGAGACTTAATTTAAATGTTGATTTACTAGTAATAACCACCTCTCTAATATAATGCTGTAATGAATAATGAATTATACATAACAATCCATCCATCACAATGTATCTTATTAAATGACACATGGCATTCTTAACATGTGTGTGTAATGATTGGAATACACTGAGTAATGGCATGTCAAATGACAATCTACACAATCATATACTTTTTATGCGCAGACGAAGATGTTTAAAGTACGACAGCTCATTTGTGCAATTTGTCTAGGAATATTTCCTGATTTAAGTATAATGTATGTTGCCATAATTCAGCTAGATTCATATGGGTATCGATTTATCTAGCGGTAATGGACAAACAAAATGTATCACGTATCAAAATTGTTTTGAAATTACTTTAGGTAGACCTAAACGCTGGCTGGCTTCTGAATATGACGAACTTATCAGCGTCGAGGTCAAAAGGTTAAAGGACACGGCTGTCTCCGGTCAGATTTTCCGATCCTCAGCCTCCCAAACTTGGAAACTGGACTCGGGTGTCCGGCAAAATAATGTAGGGGTATAAACTACCATACAAGTAAGTGTATTTCCTGTCGCGGAAACACGGCCCTAGGATTGAATAGCGTACATATCGTGTGTTAGGCGCTCCATACTAGGGCTATAGCGTGTCATCCAGCGGACATCACAGTGTCCGACCATCTGAAATTCGACAATTTTTCGATGTTTCATGAAGTCTACCGAAAATTATACTCCATGATATTCGGTCAATCATACATCAAATTAGAGAAATAATAGTTTTCTGTTGATATAGGCTGCTACTCCCGACGAGGCATTATGAACAGTTATGACAAAATCGCATGTTTTCTGGAACGGGGACACTTTACTAGAGGGACGGAGTAAGAGTAGCAACCTTGTTTATATTATGGGTATTTTTTAGGAATATTTGTTTTTATCAACATTCATGAGGTCAAAACAACATTGACTTTCTGTACACCTTGAAAATGTTGATAATTTTGAAGTTGTATAATGTTAATGACCTTAAAGGTGTTGATAATTTTGAAGTTGTATCATGTTACTGACCTTGAAGGTGTTGATAATTTTGAAGATTGTATATTGTTACTGACCTTGAAGGTGTTGATAATTTTGAAGTTGTATAATGTTAATGACCTTGAAGGTGCTGATAATTTTGAAGTTGTATAATTTTAATGACCTTGAAGGTGTTGATAATTTTGAAGTTGTATAATGTTAATGACCTTGAAGGTGTTGATCATTTTGAAGTTGTATCATGTTACTGACCTTGAAGGAGTGATAATTTTGAAGTTGTATAACGTTAATGACCTTGAAGGTATTGATAATTTGGAAGGTTGTGTAATGTTACTGACCTTGAAGGTGTTGATAATTTTGAAGTTGTATAATGTTAATGACCTTGAATGTGTTGATAATTTTGAAGTTGTATAATGTTACTGACCTTGAAGGTGCTGATAATTTTGAAGTTGTATAATGTTAATGACCTTGAAGGTGTTTATAACTTTAAGGTCGTATAGCTTTTCTGTCCTTGTCTTTGTTTGTGACTTGAAACTATTAGTGACTTAATTGTTGTATACATGTAACGTTTCTTAAATTGAACTTCTCTGCATTGGAGGTGTTGGTAATTTGATGTTGTACCTGTTTCTGGCCTTTATAATGTAACTGACCTTGAAGTGATGGAGACTTAAGTTGTATAGTGTTACAGACCTCAAATGTGTAAGAAATTTGGAGGTTGTATGGCGTTTCTTACATTGAAGGTGCTGATGACTTTGAAGTATATCATGTTACTAACCTTGAAGGTAATTTGGAAGGTTGTATAATATTACTGAATTTGAAGATGCTGACGATTTTGAAGTGATGACTTTTACTGACCTAAAGATACTGGTGACTTTAAGGAGTATAATGTTACTGACCATAAAGATACTGATGTCTTTGAAGTTTAAACTGTTAACGACTTTAAAGATGCTTATGACTTTGAAGATTGCAATGTTTCATTAAAAATGCTGATGCATTTCAGGTGTTTAATGTAATTAACCTTTATCTTGCTGGTGACATTGAAGTGTATAATATTACTGACCTTGAAGGTGCTGACGACTTTGAGGTTGTAGAAGACCGGGATGAAGATATGAGCAGCCCCCATGGCAGTTATTAGGAAGCCCACAGTGATCCACCAGTACATTGTGTTGTACCGGTAGACCTCCGCGGGAGTCCCCAGCAGCGTGATGGCGGAGATGAAACTTGACAAGAGAGACAATGACACGGGGAGGTAGTGCATCTTCCTACCACCCAACAAGAAGTCTTCCGCGTCATCACTCTTCCGGTCCCGGATGGCGTAGTACAGGCCGATTGAGGCTGACGCCAAAAGCGTCGCCCCGAACACTATAAAGTCAATTTCATTAAAGGCAACGTTCTTGTTCGTCTCAAAGTTGTACTGGTAAGTACGCTCCATGTCAATGTTAGAAAAGCCGCACGCACCTATTATTTATACTGATGATCAACACAGGTCAAGGTAAATATGGAGAAAAAAACCTTCACACTCTAATGTATACTGATGATACGCGCAGCTCAAGATAATAACGTAATTTAGCTTTAACCTGTTCATGCTCTAGTGGTTGGATCGGGCTAAAGTTACACGTCAATTATATTATGCAACTGAATTCATCAAAGTAGGTCAAATACAGGTAAAACTTGCTACTGGGAGAATATTCACGTCTAAGTTCTGACGCTAACTATAAAGTCATGCATGATTAAACTCTCGGCAAGAGGATGACCGAACTGTGCCTGACCCTTCATTAGTACTATAAATATATAGTCTACTATTGACTTGGTGGGATGACGTGTTGGTACCTGGCCCTTAAGGTCCGCTGGGCGGTTATCAATAATCTCTCAATTTATTCCACATCGCGTCCAATGGCTGTCACCTGTCTACTAACGAGTGCATGTCAATTTCTGGCGTATGCTCCGCTACATGATCTATATCTTGTCAAGTAAAAGTAATGTGTTGATTAAGACGAAGAGAGAATATTGACGAAACCGGTTTATTATATTTATCGGGAAATATTAAAATGAGCCCAGTGAAATGTTTTGTATACAACATATACAAATGTATGGAATCTACACAAGTTTATCAACTTAATAATTACGAAGTCGGTTATGAGTTTTTCCTACCTATTTAATTATAAACGCGCATAATTAAGGCATACTTTTATATACGTTATTTCGTGGAAGGAAAATGCAGAAAGTACGCGATGTCCAATTTTTGATGAGGTAAATAAGGGATATGCGTCATTTTTTGTGGAGTATAGATCACTTCAGGCGGGCTAATGGTGACACTTACAAATGCATTAACATTTGTGTAGGTCACCAAGTTCAAGCGAACTGACCCCTGTAAGGAACAACAACAGACAGTACATTCCTCCGGCGAAGGAACGATCGTTGTGAATGGAAGGTCATATATTAAACACGTACATCTGTTTTGGCGTGCGAGGTGACAAAGAGCAGTATTCACGATGGTATATGTTTGAATCACGTTAATAGATAAATTAAGATTAGATAAATTAAATAATAGTTTATTTAAATGTCACGCATTGATCGACAGTAAAAAACAAATCACAATCATAAAATATACAAAGTAAAAGCGATCAATACCCACCCACCATTGGTTGACTTATTAAGGCTTTTACTTTTGCATTATTATGTTTTTTATTTTACGTTATAACGTGTTTTTTTTTTAATTTTATATAAGTAACCCTAATAGGCTTTCGTAAAAATATGTGTAACAACAACTTTTTTTGTTTTATTAACATGATAGATTAAAACAATAAAGCTTGTATTTTTTGTATAAACTAGTTTAGAGAAAGGATTTATGTAGGTATAAATAGAGTGTGTTCTTATTGAATGTATCCAGGAGGGATAAGCAATATGAAATAAGCCCAGTGAGTGTCTTTGTAGATTCCGACACACAGTGTACGTACGGGTGGTGAAAGGGAGGAGGGGTAATTTACATGTTCACCACCCGACGATCTATTCAAAAGTGTTTCAACGATTTCGAGGTTTGTGTTTTGTCAGATATATTTTGCTGGATATATTTTACGTATTTCCAGCTGTTTGTCATCAACGAGGCTGCTATTTCCTCGAATTCTAGATCATGTTGCTTATATCACTGAGTGAATTCAGTCCCCTAGTATCCCACAACTAGTCAACGTCGCTTCTAAGGAACAGAACATAAAGCTATGGAGGACGAGTGCGATAAATACTAGTTATTTATATGTCCGTGTTTCCTTTTTCTTTTTGTAAATCTTTTTATATTGTATCAAATGTTTTCTAAGACACATTTCTCCAATAAGTTTCCATCAACCTCACGAAGGTATTGTCCAACTCCTCAGGTTTGTTCTTTTTAAATTAAAGATTTTTTCGTCAATTTTCCTTTAGAAACTCCCCAAATCCACCCAATTCTAGGTCCTGTTACGTTTTTGTGTTTACAACACTTTATTTTATATAGACTGTTCTCAATTCACGAGCCGTCATTGTGTTCTCGTGGGAGAAGAGCAATAACTCGAGCAGATTTTGTAGAGAGGCCGCGAATGCCTAAGGATATAAGACGAAGGTTTCGTTTGGTTTGGTCATTTAAGGATGTTTATGACCTGGGAAACTTCAATGATAATAATAACAATATACAGCATTTATATAGCGCCCTATGTAATTTGTAAAATTACTATAAAGCGCTTTACAACATATGGATACTAATATTAGTTATAATTGTGAAACAAAAACAAAGGCTTACAATCATTTTTATACATCAAGCAAGCAAATAATCATCGCAATGTGCACATACATGAATAAATAAAGGGTGGTATTTACATGACGTCTTTGCAAAGAGCCTAAAATGCAGACGTGAAGAGGTGAGTTTTGATGTTCCTCTTGAACTTGGCCATGGTATTTGACTTTCTTATACAGCAGATGGTACATGTAAGCTATGCCACAACGTAGCCGAAACCCTTCCAAACACATCAAAGATTCTGACTCCGACCGCAGTGATCGTGACGGCTGATACAGGGTAACAAGCTCCTGTAGATACTGGGGAACTGTTCCATTTAGTGCCTTGTATGTGTACACCAACATTGTGTACTGCGACCTGTATCGTACAGGTACATGTAACGAGTGCAATGAATATAGAACAGGTGTGATGTTCTCGCTTTTTCGAGTAAGAGTAATCAGCCGTGCAGTGTTCTGGACCCTCTGCAGACGACTAGCAAGTTTTTCAGATATACCACAGAGCAGGGCGTTACCATAATCCAATCGAGAGGTAAATATCGAATGCACCAAAATCTTGCATGCATCTGCAGTCATAAACTGTCGGATACAGCGGATGTTCCTGATCTGGTAGTAACAGGATTCACTTGTTTCTCCATGTTCAGTGAACTATCAAAGTATACCTCTATATGATATTTTATTTCCGTGTCATGTTTTCAATACCTAGTATCATCAACAACACTTGCTATCTAAGGTAGAAGATAGACCGAAGGAATCCAATAGGGTAGGGTTATTCTGTATCATCAACAACACTTGCTATCTAAGGTGGAAGATAGGCCGAGGAAATCCAATAGGGTAGGGATATTTTGTATCATCAACAACACTTGCTATCTAAGGTAGAGATAGACCGAGGAAATCCAATAGGGTAGGGATATTCTTTATCATCAACAAAACTTGCTATCTAAGGTAGAAGATAGACCGAGGAAATAGGGTAGGGATATTCTATATCATCATCAACACTTGCTATCTAAGGTAGAAGATAGACCGAAGGAATCCAATAGGGTAGGGATATTCTGTATCATCAACAACACCTGTTATCTAAGGTAGAAATTAAACCGAGGAAATCCATCAACAACACTTGCTATCTAAGGTAGAAGATAAACCGAGGAAATCCAATAGGGGAAGGATAGTCTGTATCATCAACAACACCTGTTATCTAAGGTAGAAGATAGACCAAGGAAATCCAATATGGTAAGGATATTCTGTATCATCAACAACACCTGCTATCTAAGGTAAAAGATAAACCGAGGAAATCTAATAGGGTAAGGATATTCTGTATCACCAACAACACCTGCTTTCTAAGGTAAAAGATAAACCGAGGAAATCCAATAGGGTAAGGATATTCTGTATCATCAACAACACCTGTTATCTAAGGTAAAATTTAAGGGATGCAAAATTCCTATAGCGAGAGCCGGGATAAGGACAACGAATGAGTGCACACTAATTAGCTTAATAAATACCAACCTTCCTATAAGAAAAAAAAAGGAATTTCCCCTGAAGCTGTTGCAAAACAACACGCCATATCGCCAACATTCTGAAGAAGAAGAGTCAAACTGAGCTAAATGTTTCTTGTTACAAACATTCAAGATAAGTGTCAAGCAGACATAAAAGTGTAAACCTACGACTACGCATAATATCCTTGTGAGGTCACCTTAGTCACTAAATTTCTCTTTATTGCAGTATTAGTTCATTATTTTGTAAACGTCGATTCATAGTTAAAAGATATTCTTGGTTTGTGTAACATCAATGATTAAACTCTGAGTAAATAACGTTGTAAGCATTGCATCGTTGCTTATTGTCTATAATTGCAATAAACGACGATTGTCCTCTCACTCCTATGACAATTTATTTAACACATGTAATGCATAACATTGTATACAGGTATCACTACAGCATGGATTCTTTTGCATGCACACTACAGTTGTGGGAACGCACAACGCACCAAAAATACCGTGCGCACACCGTGCATACATCGTTCACACACCGTCCGCACATCGTCCACACATGGTGCGCACAACTGTGCGATTTAACAATCTGTGCCATATGGTACAACTTGTTGATCAATATTACGGAATGACAAAAATACGTAAGGCTCGTATGCAATAATGTACACTGTATATATCACTGTAATTTATCATCACTATAATCAGAGACGTATACGTCTCTGCTATAATTAAGAGTATTTACAAGTTTACAATGCGTGTAATACAGTATACAGTGACCGTTAGACTGTCAAGAGTGGGTTTGGCTCCTCGGTAACAGAACAGGTAAATAACAATTTGATGAGTGACCGGAGTTTTATGTGGCCTGAACTTGACACATAGAGCTGCTATATGATACCGTATGACCATTATGAAAACTCAACCGGACGTTTAATATTTGTTATTTGCATTCGTTTTGGTCTATAGCTCCCCTTCATCTGCTTTTCACACCTTGGCGAGTGTACGTAAGTGCCCCGGGTGGGGTAAACTACGGACCAGGTACAAAGTGGCAATGTTTACTTATGTAGCCGAGACTGTGTTGTAAATTTACACGTGTCGATTAAGGTCGTTTCAAAACCCCACAAAACACCTTTTCTAAATTTAAGAAAGTATAGACAGAAAGATAAGCTTATAGATGTAGCTATAGTATAGAAACATACTAAATAATCTAATTTTATGTTCAAACACGAAACCGTATATATTGTCAAGGCATTCCTCAATTTACACCAACCACGATTGTTATCGCCCAACGTTCGTCGATCGTCCGCACAAATGTGCGCAAGGAATGATCGTCCAATT